ACAGATAAAGTAGTTTGGGGGGCTAAGGATGTTCCTTTGATGGGAATGCAAACCTGCATTCTCACTTAAGAACTGGGAAATTGAGATCATTATGATTTGCTATCCATCAAGTCTTCCTACTCAGAAGAACACAGTTTTAAAAGGAATGCATTTATCCCATCTCAGATTTTTGGTATGCTTTTTTTTCTTCTCTAAAGCATAACAAGCTTGTCAGAGTTTCCATGGTGAACGTGGGGCACCATGGAAACTGATAGATTTAGCTACAAAAGAAGAATAAATAAAATAGGCAGGCATTTATTTCACTGTGCGATGACAACTTCTCTCCTGCCTGGAAGAGGAAAGGGGCTTCTCATTTAACCTGCCTATCCTTCACTGTGTGTGCCTCATGACAACATGAGTGATTCGCCCTGCATCGTTTTTACTGACCCATGATGATTGGATTGTTCTTCTCGAGGTCCATTGGTCCTACTTTGGTTCCACTTCAGGGTAGATCTGTGTGTCACTGGCACCTGTTGGGAATCCATGTAAAATGCGAACGTTGTACATGACAACCCACAAGGCAGTGACATCATCATGACAAAATTGAATGGAAAATTCTTCAGTTTACTCTATGGACACAATGTCTAGGTCCACCCTATACTAACTGATGGGCACACCAACTCCCCTGAACCTCGGTTTCTCCATACCTAAATGGTTGAAATATATCCTCTTCCTTCTTTATAGGATTGTTGTGAGGCTCAGAATAAGGAAGTATTAGAGAAAGCCTTTTTCAGCAGTTAAGTTCTATCTGGCAGGAGAGAATGACAAGCTGCAGCTATACTGATAGTAATAAAGTGACCAAAATGTAAAACAGATCATGCTATGCTCCCATTTTTTGCCTCAGGCAGTTAGAGGTTCAGAATATACTGGCCCCTCTCAGTAGTTGCGGAGTTTTGAGACCACCTGGCTCCACCTGAGATAAGAAGAAGTGTGACGTTAAGAAATGAAGCCATTCGACTTCTCTGCTTGTGAGAAAATGCTCATATTAAACATTGTAAAACTAAAGAAGTAAAATAAAGCTCTTTCTTAACCTTTAGTCCCAATGAACTGATCACCATTAGCACACACCCTCTCTGGATTTTTTTTTATCGCTAAAATGTAAGCAATAAAGCCATCACTTGAAGTTCAACATTTACGTAAGTCTATTGAGTACCTCCTATTATGTAAGTCTATTGAGTACCTCCTATTGGCCAGACACTGTGTTAAGGGACGCAGAGAAAGAAAGGAAGAAGATATGGTCCTTAAGAAGAACACAGTCTTCTAGTGGAGATAGACTAATAAAAACAATAATGATAGCACCCCGTGAACTCAGAGATGGAGTACTTAGCACCTGAGAGAGAGAGGAGGTGTAAAGATTTTCTAGAGGGGGTTGGGAAGGGGCTGTAAAGCTGAGGATTTTAGCCAGGGGAGAGTGGGAGCACGGTGTAATGTGGCATAAGGGCACTGTAGGCAGAGATCTTGAGCAAAGTGGATGCAGAGTATGTGGGATACCAGAGGGAGAAGAGCCCAAAGAAGCAGCAAGTCCTTCAGGAAGCCTCCATAGGGAAGAAGCGTCTCTTTAAAGAAGTGATATGTGGGGGTTAGAGACTGAACGTGCATACAATTGTTGGATTTCCTTTTGAAAAACTGAATAGTGATACCAGAAAATAGCAGTGAAATGTACATGAATATAACTTCTAATGTCCTTTCAGTTCTAATATTGCATGGATATGAATGTGGGCTATAGAAAGAGCTGAAGAATAGAAACTGCTATTTCCTTGAGACTTTGGGAGGACAATAAATACCACTGGTCACATGTTTTGTCTGTCCAGAATAATGATATTAACCAGAAGCTGTCTCAAGATGTTCTGGTCTACCTTTCGAAGGTGAATATGAAAGTTCTGCACTCCTTTCTCCTTCCAAACTTCAGTGGCCTTGAGAACATTTCCGTGTGGACGCCGAGATGGTAGTCAAAACTGCAGGGGCACCGGCAACATAAAAGATGAGGATGGAGAACAGATGAGATTAGCTGGGAAGGCAAAACTTCCTGACACCTGGCTGCACTGAGGGTACTGGATCCCAAGCACAGTGTCTACGATTTGGTTGGGAATTGGAGCAGAAGGGAGTACTGCTTGATAGGGCTAATAATCCCTCAGGAGCTAATGTTAGTCTCCTGGAGCCCCATGACCATTCCTTCTATTTAAAAAAATTTTTTTGGGGGGGCACCTGGGTGGCTTTGTCGGTTAAGCATCCGACTTTCGCTTAGGTCATGATCTCGCAGTTCGTGGGTTTGAGCCCCGCGTCGGGCTCTGTGCTGACTGCCAGCTCGGAGCCTGGAGCCTGTTTCAGTCTGTGACTCCCTCTCTCTCTCACCCTCCCCTGCTCACACTGTCTCTCTGTCTCCTAGAAATAAATAAAAATATTTAAAAAAAATTTTTTTTAATGTTTATTTTTGAGAGAGAGAGAGAGACAGAGTATGAGCAGGGGAGGGGCAGAGAGAGAGGGAGACACAGAATCCGAAGCAGGCTCCAGGCTCCAAGCTGTCAGCACAAGCCTGACGCGGGCTCGAACCCACAAACCGTGAGATCATGACTGAGCCAAGTCAGCAGCTTAACTGACTGAGCCCCCTCAGGTGCCCCCCATTCCTTCTATTTAAGATTAACTTTATTTAAAGCTACACAATCACTACTCATTCCAGAAGCCACACATAAGAATGTCAACAAACATCAAGATAAAATTCCCTAGCAATTCCATTATCTCCACAGAATGATATCCATTGTTTTGGTATACCTTTTAAATTCTAGCAAAAATGCGTATAGGCTTTTCATGACTTTAACTGTAGCATAAATGACATTTTAATTTTATTGTATTGTATTGTATTTTGAAATAGAGAGAGAGAGAGCAAGTGAGGGAAAGGCAAAAGGAAACGGAGAGAAAAAACCTTAAGTATGCTTCATGCCCAGCACTGAGCTGGACTCAGAGCTTGATCTCATGACCCTGAAATCATGACTTGAGCACCCAGAGTCAGATGCTCAAATGACAGAGCCACCCACGTGCCCCATAAATGATATTTTTAAAAACTCATCATCTTATTATATATAACTGCCATGTGGCTATTTTAAATATTTCCCTGATTTTTAATAACTGCATAATATTCCACTAAACTTGTCTCTACTGGTAGTCACTCTATTACAAAGAAAATATTAGCTCTATCTGTTTTAGGGAACCAATACATCTTCTGGAAACATTGATTGGACTCCTTTTTTAAACTAAAATCCAGACATTTTCTTCACTTTTCTTTCTGAGGTTCGTATGTACACAAGCCTGAAGCCAGAGGCTGTTTCCACTCTGCTAGCTGTTGGACCTGCAAGGAAGGTGTGCGGGTGTGCAGAATCAGGACACAATGACAAGGAGAAAGGGCCAATGTGGCAACTTTAAGAGGCAACTGCAATGCCCTCAGCTTCAGGGCTTCCTAATTCTGAGTCCTTGGTAGGGTGACCAGCCACCTCAGTGTGCCTGGGACTGCAGTTTCCTCAGGGTGAAGGAACTGAAGGGAATGAGCCGTTTGTGTAAACCAGCCCTGCATCATAATAGCAGCAATTCCGAGAAAGCCTGCTCATGCCCTGAAATGAGAAACCCCTATCTTTAGGTAGGAGCCAGAATAGATATTTATCTCAGGTTATTGCTCTGCTCCCCCCAAAACCATTCTTACGTTTATTCAGTAAACATGTAAGAAACCCTAGGCACTGTTCTGGGCATAAGAGCCCTAGTCTCTGGCCGGCCTGGGTGGCTCAGTCCGTTAGGCGTGGGGCTCTTGATTTTGGCTCAGGTCATGATCCCATGGGTTGGTGGGACCGGGCCCTTCCATGGGCTCTGCACTGTCAGCACGGAGCCTGCTTGGGATTCTCTCTCTCTCTCTCTCTCTCTCTCTCTCTCTCTCTCTCCCCCCCCCGCCCCCCCCAATCCCTTCAAAATAAATAAATAAACATTAAGAGAGAGAGAGAGAGAGAGAGCCCTGGTCCTGTGGAGCTCCCATTACTCTCTGTGTGTGTGTTGGGGGGAGAGGAGCAGAGATAAATGAAAAAAACACGAAATAAACAAGGATGGGTCTGATCGATGCAATGGCAGAAATAAGAGGTATGGAATACAAACTCTGCAGGCGGGGCGCTGCTGCTCGTTCTCCGGTGGATGATTACTCTGGAGCTACATTTGAGGCACACCAGTGAGGAGAAGAGTCGGTCACGTGAGGATCCGCACGCGGAGTTACGGCAGAAGGAGCAGAATGTGTGTGGCCCTGCGGGGAAACCAATGGGTCTTGCTGGAGGAACTTGGCAAATGACTTTGTAAACGTAGTGCAAGGAACGAATGTTGACCCTGAGGCGGTCTTAGCAACCACCCAGTCGGAGTTCAGTTTTCACCAACGAAGATAAAGATGCTGAGGCTCACTGCCTCCAGTGGTCTCTTGAATCCTAACCCAGTGCTCTTTCCAGCGAGCGATGAAACTTTTCTCCCCCGGTAACATCTGGAATTAAATCAAAGAGCTGCATTTATTTTAGGTGTGAGAGAGACTGGAACTGGAGTTGTTTGTGGATGGACACAAACACCAAAACACTGGGCTCAAGGAAGAAGGGAGGGAAGATCAACCTTTGTCGGCAGGGCCCCCAGGAATTCTGTTAAGAGGTGCTTCCAGAGCACCTCGTTAGGAGAAATACGGCAGCCCACAGAAACTGAAAACAAAACTGGTCTGTAAGGCAGGCGGTTCCAGCTGACCTTTCCACCTGTTCCTGAACTTGCGGCTGTTCAGACCTTGAACGTGCTACAGGTTAAAGAGGTACAGGCTTTGGTCACAAGTAGCCCGAAGTTTAAAGGGCAGAGAGAGCCGTGCGCCAGTAAAGAAAGTTGGAGGAGGCTGGGGGACGCAGAGCAACGGCAACTTGAGCCACCAGCTAGGGTTCAAGGCTGGAAACGGCTGCTCCTGCGGTCCCTTCCTTTCTTTCTCTTCCCACCTGGGTCGGCGACTCAGCCACCCCTTGTTAAAACAAGTGCGTTGTAGGCTGTGATTTTGGAAACTCAAAGAGTTAACAGATCAACAACTAACACGGGGGAGGAGAGAAAGACCACACCCCAAGGGAGCGCAGAGCCAAGTCACAGGAGGAAATTCCTATTGGCGTCCAGGAGGCACGGAGCCCGCCCCTGGGCGCGGCCTGCAGGGGGCAGGCGATCGCCCAGGAAAGCGGGGGCAGGATAAGGACCCTGCAGGTGCACTCAGCCAGCCGCAGTTGCAGGGAGCCCTGCTCGCACCTCCGCCCGGTGCGCCCTCCTCGGCTCGCGAACCCCGCGCTGCGCTCCGCCGCTGACATGTGTGCCGCCCCGATGCCGCCCCTGGCGCACATCTTCCGAGGGACGTTCATCCACTCCACCTGGACTAACCCTATGGAGGTGCTGCGGGACCACCTCCTCGGCGTGAGCGACAGCGGCAAAGTAAGCGGACGCGGGGTCTGGCGCTCCCCGACGGGCGCGCGCCAGGACAGGTGGAAAGAGTCTGGCACCTCGCGCTGCGGGGCCGGGGATCCGCTCCGCGCGGAGTGGGAGCCTCCGCTCCGGAGTTGAACTCGACCGTTTGACTCTTGGGGAATGCCATGAGAGGCCTGGGGCTAGGTTCGTGGGCTGGCCGGGGAGTAACACGTTCCCAGAAGCGGGGAGCTGTGGAGTACTCACTCCCACGATTGGTTAGACAGCCGTCCAGGCTGCAAGTGGAAGGGGGAGCGAGGCTCTGCCCTCGCAAATCTTAAGAAATCATTAATAAACCTGAACCTTGCTTCATTCATCTTTGTATCTTTGGCGCCTGGCACAGGCTAGGCGCTCCGTAAATGTCATTGAATTTATTGTGAAAGAAATAACAGATGAGGGAGTCACTTGGTTAGTGTGGTTTAGCCCTTTCAGTGCATAGAATAAACAACTGATTTCATTCACTTGATAGCTCAACAGATAGTATACCAACGATTCCAACTAGATAATATAATATTAGAAAGGATAGTCAAAGAGAAATTATCTACGTCCTCCCTACCCCCCCCACCCCCTATAGCCATTTGCATCAAAGCAAGGAGTTGCGTTTTAAGGCTCAAAATGTCCTCTATGAGTGTATCTTCTATACTTCTTTTCCTCAAATCGGGATTTCTACAAACGACCTAGGTGACTTGATGTCTCATATTTACTGTTCATATGCACCGTGCTGGTGGTGGTGGCTGGTGGTGGTAATTGCATCAGCAGTGGCTTGGCTAGTTTGGTAAGTGGAAGCCATTCCATTTCTGGCAGAAAAAAAAAACAAAAACAAAGATGAGGATGGGATATTTTGGGGCTTTTCCGCAACTACCAGCCTGGTTAGGAAAAGTACACCTATTTGTGACTTGTCAGCTTGCGAGTTAGCGACAGTTTTGAATTGTGACTCTTACATTTGGTGATAACTGAACCCTGTTTTCCTAGGATGCTTAAAAAATATTCTCTCTGTGTTCATTCAGGGAGACTGCCGTTGTGTTTCCAAGGTGATGGGACTCTCAGAGCTCCCCCAAATGGGGAGACTTCAATAACGCCCCCCCTCCCCGCTGCACCAAGAGTGATAAATTACTGCCTTGTGTACTTGACCCTCAAGTTTCAGGGAGCCCTTAGGCTTAGGGCTGGTCCCAAGAAGTAAAGGAATAGTGACCACCACACTGGGGAGAGATTAGAGGTGTTTCCCTGTGATCACCAGGAGCTGTTCATCTCTTAGGTTTCTTTTAAAAAATTAACTTCCCATATCTAGAATTTTAACCGTTAAGAAGGTGGGTTTGAAGACTGCCTTCACCCGGTGGAGCGTAGTAAGAAAAGCAAGTAATTCATCTAAAAAAAATTACCTTTTCTGGGGGTTGTACAGAAGAAGAAGGAAAGAGTGTCCTGAACATGCAATTAGCAGTTCAGTCAGAGAGTCTGCTCCTCAGTGAGGAACATACTGAAGTTATAAATTTAGAAAAATGCCATTCTCCCACAAAATAAAATTAGCTAGGAGTTGAATACAAAGGTGAGTTAATCGAATGCCTTGTAACATGTCCAAATCAGTGAACTGGTAACGGTTGATCGCTCTTCTAGCTGCAAGGCAGTTGACTGCTGACTACGTGTTAAGGGAAGAATGTGCCACATATATTTCAAGACAATGTCCTCCATGTTGAAAATGGGGTTCCTTTGCATTTGTAGCTGCTGGAATAAATGTTCATTTCAAAAATGTCAAGGTTCTCACACGAAATTATCTCCCCTTAAAATAAATGAGTTTGTGGTGACATCGTGACATTTACATTGTTACTGAGCCTCTAAAGCTGTTCACAAACCTTGGGATGGTCAGAAACATCAAGGGGTGTTTAAGGGCTGGCTCCTGGGGCTCATCCTCAGAGAATGTGAATCTGGAGTGGGCCCCTGGGAATGGCATTCCAACGAAGGCTCCAGAGCATTCGGATGCAGGTTGTCGGTGGATTGGGGGTAACCAAGGGTATAGGTCATGTGATGGAATGGCCGTATAAGATCTCGGGACCTGGTTCCCCTTTTAAAGCCCAGGTCTGGGTAGCTTGTCAGAGACAGAGAGGGAACATGACTTCCCCTCCTTCTCCCTCTTCCTTCTAGACCTCATCTCTCATTTCCTGGAACTTCATTTAGGACTCAGAGCATGGTAATGACTACTTTTAATTCATTAATTAAAGCTCATTCAAAATTAGGTTAATTTAAAAAATCTCTCACCAACATCTTAGTATTGGGCATTTTGAATTCAGAGTTAACTCAAGTGGCAAGTAGCTTTTTAAAAGAAAGAATCCCGCATGTATAATTTATTTGCAGATATTTAATTAATCTTGAGATGCTCTGTGCTCCGATATGACTAAATAATCTGATTCTTCCCACATAGAACAGGGTCAGGTTGAGTTGTTTTAAAAAAATTTTTAATGTTTATTTTCGAGAGAGAGAGACACAGAGTGCAAGCAAGGGAAGGGCAGAGAGAGAGGGAAACACAGAATCTGAAGAAGCTCCAGGCTCAGAGCTGTTAGCACAGAGCCTGACATGGGGCTCCATCCCACGAACCGTGAGATAATGATCTGAGCTAAAGTCGGACGCTTAACCAACAGAGCCATACCAGCACCCCTTTAAACTTACCTAAAAGATGCCCTGGGCCTTTTCAATGCACACTTATCTGGAAGCAAGAGCGAGGAAGAGGATCGTTTTGGACGTAGTGCCCTGGGAGCAAGTCCTGTGGAGAAACCAGACTTGGGTTCAAGTTCAGTCTCCACCACTTGCTCTGAGACCGTGAAGGAGACACTTAATCTGTCTGAACCTCTATTTCCTCATTTGTAGAATCAGGTTTTCTTTTACTAAGTATTAGATGAGACAATGTATGAAAATGCCGAGTGTTTAGTGAACACTTACCACATGCCATATACATTCTGTCCCCTTCTGTCCTTCTGCACCAGCAAATCTTAACCTCTGGCTCACTGTAGCATTTTTGCGTATTTCCACATGATGGCATCGTGCAGACGCCCACAGGTGGAGAAGAAAGCCATGGCCTGTGATGCACTATGTGGGAAGTGGGGAGGTCACCACGTCTCCCCTGTGCAGCATCCCAGTCATGTCATTGGCTCACAGGGACACAAAGAGGCATCTGGGAAGAAAGATCTTAAGGGCATTTGTTGCCAGGCTTGCTGGCACATTATGTTTAGTATCCCATCGTGTCATTATACCCACTTACAGATGGGGACATTGAGACTTGAGAAATCATGCTTTCAGAGATGGTGGCGTAGCTGGATTTTGAATTAACACGGCCAAAGCCATGTTCTCTTCACTAGAGCAGGTCACCTCATGAGGCATAGTTGTCAAACTCAAAGGACTTGGGCTTTTAAGCAATAGAGCTTAGACGTGTACCTGTAATAAAAGTGGACTGACTCCTAAGCCAAAGACTGGACTCACTGCTGGCGATACACTGATGAGAGACGCATGCAAACCCTGCCCTTCCCTTGTGAAACTGATAACCTAGTGATACATTAACAGACTGTGTTATGACCCATCAGAACTTGAACTAATCTGAGGTGGAGAGAAAGCTTTCCTTAGCGTAAAATGACATTTAAATTGTGATCTAAGGGATGAATAGAAATTAAATAGGTAGGGCAGGCAGGATTGGAGATAGGGAGGGAGCAGCCCGTGCAAAGACCCTGGGGTAGGAAAGAATGAACACATCAACGTGGTTAGAGTCCAAAGGTCTCGGGGAAGGATAACACAAGATAAGGTGGGAGAGATAGGCAGGGCAAGGTCTTGGAGTGCATGGGGAGTTGAGGGCCGGAGAACAGATTTGACATCATCAAATTGTGTGCTTTTTAAAGAATATTTTAGCTTCAAGCTAAAGAATGCATTGGAGAGGGGCACCTGGGTGGCTCAGGCGGTTAAGTGTCTGACTCTTGATCTCATTTTGGGTCTTGATCTCACGGTTTGTGAGTTCGAGCCCCATGTCAGGCTCTGTGCTGACAGTGCAGAGCCTACTTGGGATTCTCTCTCCTCTCTCTCTGCCCCTCCCCAGCTCACATTCTCTCTCTCTCTCAAAATAAATAAATAAACTTAAAAAAAAAAAAAAAGAATGCATTGGAGAGGAGTCGAGTGCAGGCAAGGAGATCAGATAGGAGCCTGTTGCAGTAATTTAGGTAAAATGGATGTGGTTTGGAGGCTTACCTAAACTGAGCCACCCAGGCGCCCCATCAAAATGGATGTGGTTTGGAAGAGAGGCAGTGTAGTCTGTCAATTAGGATATGAACTTTTTTTTACCTTTTTTGAGTATAATTGATACACAATGTTACATTAGTTTCAGGTAAGATATGAACTCTTTTTAAAATTTATTTATTTTTATTTTTTAAATAGTTTATTGTCAAGTTGGTTTCCATGTAACACCCAGTGCTCATCCCCACAAGTGCCCTCCTCCATGCCCATCTCCCCCCTCCCCCCCACACCCATCAGTCCTCAGTTTGTTCTCAGTATTCAAGAGTCTCTCATGGTTTGCCTCCCTCCCTCTCCCCAACGGTTTTTCCCCTTCTTCTCTCCCATGGTCCTCTGTTAAGTTCCTCCTAATCCTCCTATATGTGCAAATATATGGTATCTGTCCTTCTCTGCCTGACTTATTTCGCTCAGCATAACTCCCTCAAGTTCCATCCATGTTGCTACACATGGCCAGATTTCATTCTTTCTCATTGCCATGTAGTATTCCATCATGTAGATGAACCACATCTTCTTGATCCATTCATCAGTTGATGGACGCTCAAGCTCTTTCCATGTTTTGGCTATTGTTGAGAGTGCTGCTATGAACATTGGGGTCCATGTGCTCCTAAGCATGAGCACTCCTATATCCCTTGGGTAAATTCCTAGCAGTGCTATTGAGATATGAACTCTTAAGAGTGCTTCTGTCACTAACTATGTGAAGCTGATGAAGT